ATAATTATTTTAAATTGAGAAAGCGAAATACGTTGGTCACACGATTTTAGGTACCTAAAATTTTGAGTAATAATACAAGATTGCCGTTAAACCGAACACCAGCAACCAATCACAGCGTTCTATTCGGTTAACGTCAGTCGCGCTTCGACCATTGGGGAGGTGCGATAGGTCGATCGTCGCTCCGCGAAAAAAATACGTAACTTTTTGTGATTATCCATAGACATACCGTCGCTTGCTTGAACAATATTTTCTACCTCTAAAATTTAAACAATTTAATTGAAACTTTGCTATTGAAAACTTAACATGTTAGACTTATTTGTGTAGTATTCAACTTGAACCGTTAAATTCAAATTTAAGGATAATTCATAAAAAACTAAAATTTTCGTCACCTTCGTGGCATCACCTTCGTTGTGTTTTATACGCGAAGGTGATTTTAGGCCACGAAAGTGATTTCTTGCTTTGGTTTATTTTAAAATATAGTGACTGGTGTTTATGTTTTTATAATATTTTAATAACTAATAAATTATACGTGGTAAGTAGAGATCAGTACATCAATAAATAAATAAGGGCCTCGTATTTTTGTTGTCTGTCTGTATGACTGTATATATGTCTGTATATGTGACTGTGTACCTGTTTGTAAATAAAAATATATTTTTGTTGAAGGACTGATAATCAGTTAGAGTTCTTTTTTATTGAGGTACTGATAATCCGTTTTTTGCTTCTTTAGCATTTCAGAATGCCACCAGTGAGTGTCACCCTTAAAACCAATTGCGTAGAATCTTGTAACTTAGTAGGTGACGTAATCGGTAAAATTTTATCTTGTACTTAAGTAGGTACCTATTTATATTATGTTATTGCTATTTATCTATGAAAATAAGACAAAAATATGTTTTATAAACACTTAAGAGTCATTTACAGTAGTAAAGTTTGAAAAAAATATTGCTGTGAAGTACAGAATCACTTTCGTGGCATCAAAAAATTCAAAACGTTAAAGCTTCCAAACGAGACTCACTATTTGACTGATTTACTGAGAATACACTTTTCACATCAAGCGCTACAATTTTTGTTTACAATAAGTTGAAATAAGTTAGAAATAAAATTCGCCACGAAGGTGACGATGAGAACCGTGGCGATGAGAAATACTCAAGTACTTTATGATTAATTGAATATCAAACTTTAGACCAACACAATAGCTACCATTAATGTTCCAATTTAGCTCACTCAATCAGAATTAAAATAACCATTCGGCGCAATAATAATATGCTGATAGCAACAAATGGCCTTATTAGAGATAATGACATAATAAACGGTACAGAAAGCTGGGACAAAGTAGGTCTCAAGCTCGACCACAGACATAATGCAATCGTCTGAAACCTGAGCGAAAGAGGTCAACTCCTCTGGGCAAAGATTACTCAAGATCACCTTTACGGCGATTTTGTGAATACAAACACTGCACTAATGCAGGCCACATTATTTTGAGCTGCTATTAAATCCCATTAACTGACCTTATATGGGAAGTTTTGTAGTTTGCCTAAATACCAAGTGTGTCAATCAGTGTCAATCATTGCCCTTTTGTGTATGTTAAAGCTAGAACATTAGGCACTACGATATTTTTTGAGTACCTTCTTGGTTTTGTTTATAGCACTTATCTACTAAACAAAAGGGCAGGCCTCCTACTAGGTGGACCGACGATCTGGTAAAGGTCGCGGGAAGAGCCTGGATGCGGGCAGCGCAGGACCGTTCATTGTGGAAAACCTTGGGGGAGGCCTTTGTCCAGCAGTGGACGTCATTTGGCTGAAACGAACGAACGAACTAAACAAAAGCTTTGTCTTATAAATAACATCAAAATTCATTACGTTTATTAAACGCTCCTACTACTCGTAAATCCTAAAAAATCTGCAGTTTATTCACTTTATATGTAGTTTCTTATGACGGAAACTAATTATTGCATATCTGTAACTTTTCAATGTCAATAACAAATGAATTCTACCGATCGCGATCGTTATTTCGTTTTTTCGAATAATATTATTTAATTTTACACGTGGTTAGCGAACGATTGACCGAATTAATTATCTTTAGACAAACAAATACTACAAAAAAGAAATTGATTGCTCGAATGGATAATTTATGTAACAATAATTTATTGCTTGTATTAGAACGGAAGATAAATACCAAATAAATCAACAATGTACATATTTTTTTTGCTTCTTACGTTTATTGTTATTTTTAATTAAAAATTTTCCTGTTTTTGATTCCGTAATTAAAGAAGACATCGATAATATTGAATAACTCGGCTCCATCTTGGTAATTTCGCTCACACTGCCTCCAGGCGTTAACTATCATTCGCGAGTAGGTAGTAATAATTATAGGTTTGATGAGTAAGAATTCGTAACACGTCCGCATAGGAAGTGTGAATCACATAACTTACCTTCAACGCTGTTGTCTCACATTTTTGCGAAGACTGAACCAATATCGAATGACTCAATCGAATACTCAATGACTATAAAGAAGCACGTTATTGCATTGCGTATAAAATATGCATTAATTCTTGAAATAAGTTTAATATACAGGGTGTTTGGCGCATCGTGTGCCAAAATAATTTGGCGGATAGAATGGGTCCTTTCCTATATTTTCAGCCCCCATAACACGTTCCATGCCAGGCGGCTACTTTTAAATTAATTTTTTTTAGTAATTTCATCAAAATACCCAAATTGCATCATTTAATTTTGATTAAAAAAAAAACTACTAGGCGTAGCCTTAAAGTAAATATTTTGTTTTGACGTGCATTGATGTAGAGTTACATGAAATCTAAATTTACTGGCAAATATCATCTAGTTTTTTTTTAATTCAGCTTTGAAGTTTTCCGAAAAGTTAAAAGTGGACTGAACATTTAAGTTTACATGGCTATAATTTTTTTTTTAAAAGAGATAGCGATCTTCGGATTTTATCAAAACTTCTGTAGTATATCCCCATTCAAACGGTATACTAATCTTGTTTAAATAATAACAACAACTTCACAAATTCCTTAAATTAGTGCATTGACCCTACTCGGACTGATTTGCGAAATTTGTGTTTATAGCCCCTTTTTGTGTAAATAGCACGTTAAACACCTAACAGGTAAAAAATATTGATCTTATGCAATGTAAAAACCTTTTCCCTATCGTTTTTCAATGTGGATTTCTTGAAATTATAGACGAAAATAATTATTTTGATCGTTTATTAATTATTACAAATTTTGTTCAAAATGTCCGCCTCGGCAACGTATAGATACACTCACGACATCTTCTTCTAATTTTGACTGTTGTCGTATGCAGCCACATTTCTCTTTTTATTACTACAAAGGCGTTTTCTATTCGTTGTTGTAGTTCTTCTATTGTTTGAATCCGTTACCTACACCAGTTCTTTAGTTTGTCCCCAGACGTAAAAATCTAACGGAGTTAGGTCTGGGGAACGTGCAGGCCACTGTATAGGGCCATCTCTTCCAATCACAAAATTTGTAATAATTAATAAACGATCAAAATAATAATTTTCATCTTTAATTTCAAGAAATCCACATTGAAAAACGATAGGGAAAAGGTTTTTACATTGCATAAGATAAATATGTTTTACCTGTTAGGTGTTTAACGTGCTATTCACACAAAAAGGGGCTATAAACACAAATTTCGCAAATCACTCCGAGTAGAGTCAATGCACTAATTTAAGAAATTTGTGAAGTTGTTGTTATTATTTAAACAAGATTAGTATACCGTTTGAATGGGGATATACTACAGAAGTTTTGATAAAATCCGAAGATCGCTATCTCTTTTAAAAAAAAAATTATAGCCATGTAAACTTAAATGTTCAGTCCATTTTTAACTTTTCGGAAAACTTTAAAGCTGAATTAAAAAAAACTAGATGATATTTGCCAGTAAATTTAGATTTGATGTAACCCTACATCAATGCACGTCAAAACAAAATATTTACTTTGAGGCTACGCCTAGTAGTTTTTTTTTAAATCGAAATTAAATGATGCGATTTGGGTATTTTGGTGAAATTATTAAAAAAATTAATATAAAAGTAGCCGCCTGGCATAAAACGTGTTATGGGGGCTGAAAATATAGGAAATGACCCATTCTATACGCCAAATAATTTTGGCACACGATGCGCCAAACACCCTGTATTATTTATGCATTCGTGCAGCCGATTTAAGTCTAGTTTAGACACGATGTGTCGACAAGTTACAGTTATTGTTATTAATATTTTAACCTGAATGACTGAAAAAAATTAAGAAAACGTTTCATTGAATGCACCGCATGTCGTCTGTGAGTCACCAGTCTGCATACTGATAGCTATTTTAATGGATCGAGACTAACAAAATAAAACGCGTCATCAACTAACTAAAGACATTTCTTGCGAATTTTTAAAAATATCAGAACGTTACTCAGCTACGAATCTAATATACCCAAAGAAAAATAGATCAAGTTTCTGAGGGTGCCATAAGTTTTATGTTCAGTATTTTTAGACTTGAATAATTTATTCATATATAGCCATTTGTAGCTTAAAGGCATGAACGCCTAAAGTTTAATCCTCTCATAAAAGGTCAGTTCAAAAATGAACCTGTGGTACGGGTAATCACTACGAAAAACAATAAACAAAAAAGTTGCTCAGCGTGAAGCTTGTTTTCGCCGATTATTTCAATAATAGGAATTGATGGTTAGGTAGCTGTACCTATTTAATTTTATTTATCTTTTAACTGGTCATTGTGGATGGAGATCTTGGTCCGGTGGTGGTCGTCCTTAGGCTGATGCGACGATAGGAATCTCTACAGATCCTCAAATCGACTCATCGTCATCATCATTTTAGCCACAGGACGTTCACTGCTGAACATAGGCCTAATGATTTCCACATCGCCCGTTTGGTAGCAGCCTGCATCCAACGCCTCCCTGTTCAAATCGACTGCCAGGCTATTGTCGCCTCTAGCTCTTGACAATTGAGTTTAAAATGTTTTTTTTTTGTTGCAGGACGTTCAGCGCGATCGGCAAGGCCGAGGCGGCGCGTGATGAGCCCGCGCAGGATGCCGGCGACGCCATGAACCGCGAGAACGTTTCGACCAAGATCGCGGCCGGCATGGACCGCTGGCAGAACACGCTCGAGGACATGATCAACCTGCGCTCCTCGCACAACCACGTGTTCAAAGACAACTACTGGGTGAGTCTACCTCATTGAGAACTTCACAACTACCCGTGAATCTACCTCTTTGAGAACGTATCGAACAAGTCGCGGCCGGCATGGACCGCTGGCAGAACACGCTCGAGGACATGATCAACCTGCGCTCCTCGCACAACCACGTGTTCAAAGACAACTACTGGGTGAGTCTACCTCATTGAGAACTTCACAACTACCCGTGAATCTACCTCTTTGAGAACGTATCGAACAAGTCGCGGCCGGCAAGGACCGCTAGCAGAATATGCTCGAGGACATGATCAACCTGCACTCTTCGCACAACCACGTCTTCAAAGACAACTGCTGGGTGAGTCTACCTCTTTGAGAACGTTGAAAAATTGGCAGAAACCGTGGCAGAACACGCTTGAGGACTTGATCAACCTGCGCTCCTCGAAAAAACACGTGTTCAAAGACAACTACTGGGTGAGTCTTATAATCTAAGAATTAAGACAGCTAATCTTCTTGGATCTCCCAGAATTTGTGCGGGAAGTGTTCACACACTTACTTATTATACTGGAGATACTTTACCTGATCATCTTGGCGCAGTACTGATATTACTTGTAAATTAGTCTAATAACGCAGCCAGCTTGGCACGACGTCGTTTGACTATAATTTTCTGTGGCCCACACTAGATTTACTTACTTATGTCATTTAGGAAGTAAAATCTCTTCCGTACCTGCAAGTTATTACAAATAACATTAAAACAATATTAAGTAAGATTTTATTTAATAGTAAGAGTTATGAGTAAAATTCAATGATGCATTCATGATGCAATGGAAGAAACTTATCATTAATGTGCTCCTACTCGCTCGTGGCAATATGAAAAGTAACAATAACACCACAGTGAAAGTAAAACGCTGGTAATTGGGCTAATGGAAACGATTTTTTACTCAATACGAGGAAAAGTCGGAGGTAAAATTTATTTTGCTGTAAATAAACAATCTTTGATCACGACTAGGTAAAGAGTTTACTCGGTTGAAGCACAGATAAGTTAAAGTGAAGTAGTTAGGTCTAATTTTGAGCTACAATTGGAATGAGTTTCAACCGCCACCTCTTATCACCAGCAGTAGTGTTGCCCCGAAGTAATGATAGGGCAATAAAGCTTTTTAAGCGCACTGAAAAGGGCCAACACACTAAAAATTGAAAAGATATATGCACCACGGACAATAAATATCAATTAAGGGGGCCTATCTTATGAGCAATTAGCTACCTATTAGAATTTGATAATTAGAAAATGCCGAAAGGCATTAAGTCCGCCTTATGTACACCGTTCTATGTGCATATAAGTTTTAAATAAATAAATAAATAAATACCTGCCAATAATGTTTTTCACAAAATCGCTTAAAAGCACGGAACCTTTGTTTGTCACCTGTCATCCGCTTTGCAATGGATAAGTCGAACCTTAATTTCGAACTCCTCCTATGTTCTTCTGATTAATTTCGTTACGGGTCCAATCAGGGCCGGATCTACCTATGGGCTGATTGGGCTGCAGCCCAGGGCCCCGGGGTTACAAGGGGCCCCCAGATCCCGCTAAAAAGTAGGCCATAATTTGAAAAAAAAAATGTCTGTAAAGTCGGTTTACGGACGATAATTTTACGTGACAACGTCATAAGAAGTTTCAGCCCAGGGCCCCACAAATTCACGATCCGGCCCTGGGTCCAATGTCAGTTTAACTTTCCCCCGGGACAAACTTGACCTTCATTGATTGGGTTTTTATGACGGTCAAGCTGTAGATCCTGGCTACACAGGAGTTGCAGTGGTGGGATGGGAACGAGAGGTGGGAATAGTCCCGTTATAAAGAATTGGGATAATTTAAAAAAAAATATTATGTTTACCAACTGGCTCGAGCCAGTAGATTGTCTTCTTATACTACATTTTGTTAAGATACGAGACATACTTAGTTATTTCGGTGAGATGCGTTAAGTTATGCAAAAATTACCTATTCCATGCATAAAAAATCTGTTAGATCATTATCGAATATTATGTCATAGCAGCGAGATAAATCCATTTGGAACCAGGTCAGGCATTAACTTAATGCTTATTTAAGAAATTTAATTTGGGTTTTTTCAATTTTATTATACTTATTTAAAGTCATGAAACTTCTTGATGTTAGTAATTTGACATGGTAGAGAATTAAAGATCGATAGTATTAAAGATATTTTTATCATTGCTAAGGTAGTAGTTAGTCCAAAGTACCTAAGTATTGATAGTTTTTGACCATGATTATACTCGTACTACCTACTCGGATAAATAGTAGGAGTATCGATACATTTTCGACAGTAAGCTCTTTTCAGCTATCTCAAGCTTTTTCTTACCCTATCGTCTGTCAGATTAACAGATACCTACCTACGCTATTACATATTTCTATGCTGAAATATTTATCTTGGTAAAATAATATCTACTTATTAGACAAATATGTAGTCGAATTATTGTTTGATCAGTATCGATGACTTCTAGAAATCAGTGTTGTAAGTTACGTAACGGTCCCTTGGCTTAGTAGTTGAAATGCATTTATTCCGAGTCAAGCGTTTTATTTCATAATAGTTGTGCACACTACACTTCCCGGCGGAAGTGCGCATCTTCATTCAACTCATGCGCATAGGGTTACCACACGTTGTTATTTAAGCACTTGTCTATTCAGTGTAGACTTCGACAAATGATTTGAAACTTTCTCTGTGATATTTCAATGCCAGTGACGTATACGTGACATCATCAGGACTGTCCTATTTTAGCGTGACAATTCACGCTGTTATCTTGAGGGTGCATTTTTAAAACGAAATTGACTTGTTTGTTTCGTCTCCTTTTCTTTATACGAGACTAGCGGCCGCCCGCGACTTCGTACGCGTGGATCCCGTTTTACCCCCTTAGGGGTGGAGTTTCGTAAAATCCTTTATTAGCGGATGCCTACGTCATAACATCTAACTGCATGCCAAATTTCAGCCCGATCCGTCCAGTGGTTTGGGCTGTACGTTGATAGATCACTATGTCAGTCAGTCAGTCAGTCACCTTTGGGTTATTAATTTAGATTCTTTGTTTTTTTATATGAAAACTACATTAATATCTCAGGACTTTCCGTTCTAACGCGTACTAACCCTATATGCGCAAGCGCAAGTTCGACGCAACTGTCCACGTCAGCCACCCCATTATAAACCATAGCACCATGGTGTTCGAGTCTATTTCCGTTGCAGTGAAAGTAAGTTGTAAAGAAAGTTTGTTGTGCGTTCGTATAACGTATCGTTGGTTAATTTAATCCATTGATGTTTACCGTTGCGGACCTGCGCGTGACCAGCCAATAAAGATATCTTGGACGTGTCTGCGGTGTAATTAGCAAATATGAATAGTAAACTATTTAAACTGAATTCTTCAAAGTAGGAATTTGTTCTTTAAATATTTTCTAGAGAGTTTCAAAATGTTATTTTCAGCTTAGATGATGAATAAATGCTAAGTAAATCATATCTACATAAGTGACGAAAACCAATACCTACCTATTTAAGGTCCAGTTAAGTTCTAGACGATGAATTCCTGAATTCTTATTTAGTTTTTAACTTTTCTTGCGGGTTTTTAACTCTCTATGTGTTTTATGTCGCCACTATACCTATGAATGTCCGAACAAATTATTAAAGGATATCAACTTCGTTTATTACTAATATTCATGTTTATTATCAAATCAGATAATATAGGATTTGATTATAATGAAATTGTAGAGATGGAGTAGGTATCTACCACACGAAGTCATTATAGCAGTCAATAGCTTTCCAAGAGGAAATTATGGTTTTTGTTATTTACTTGTCACCGCAGTGTGGGTTAAACGTCTATTAATTTTTAATAAGGAAAGAAAGTTTGTAATCTATGTATGTAATAGGTAGTAATAGTAGCTGCAATAATGCTATGGCTGTAGCACCTTTTGTAGATAAATCTTACTGTCACGATGGACTTATTCAACTTATAGTAATAAATAAGATTTTGACGTCTAGCTAAGGGCCAGCTGCTTACCCCTGGATGTCAGAATTCAGTCGTTAAGTTTTATAAATATCATCAAGCATTATGTGGACTAAAAATATACCTTCATTTCATTATCAATCTGAACATCACTAACACAAACGTCATTGTTTTGATTCGACATCGCAAAAATTACACACATACGCTATTGCCAGAACCATGAACTTGGCACTTATTAGCACCATCATTATGGTGTTTCCTACTTAATTAATAACCTAATTAGCCGAACCGAAATGTATCCTGTTTATCGATCGATCTTATTTCCGTTCAGCCGAAAACAAAGCATTTTGTTTTGTTGTTTATTGTTTTTTCATCATCATCATCATCATTATTTCAGCCACCAGGATGTCCATTGCTGGTCAAAGGCCTACCCCAATGATTTCCATATTGCCCGTTTGGTAGAGGCCTGGATTATCATGGATCTGTTGTTCGTTGTTGTTCGTTCGTTTCAGCCAAATGACGTCCACTGCTAGACGATCTATGTTGTAACTAAATATTATAAAGTGTTATTTTTTCAATTTATAAGCTTCATAAATCATATCAGCGCCAGCATAATAAAGGAAATAGTTTTACCTATTATTACATTTGAATTAAAAAGGAAGAGAAGCGTTGAAACAAAATAATAAAATGTACCTAATTATGATTGTTCTATATTCCTTCCTAGACCATTTTTGCAGTGATTGTCATAGTTAGTAAATCTGAAAAAAGAAATGAAGGTAATGTAAAATTAAATAACAATAATTATAAACACAAGAAAAAACTAAAAAATATTTATAAAGACATTGTCGAGGAATTTCGATAACACAAAATTCTATCTACTAATATGTACTGGGTACTTTAGATGTGAGCAAATAAGTAGGTATTATAAATGCGAAAGTTTGTGTGCATGTATGTTTGTTACTCTTTCAAACAAAATCTACTGTAATGGATTTCGATGAAACTTTACAGTATTATCGTTATTGGTTTTACGCGGGCGAAGCCGTAGG